TGGATTTAATGTCCAGGTAAAATCCCAAGCACTCAGTTTATTTAACACTAGTATAAACCAGCAAGTTTACCTTTTCAGTGAGGTTTTCGAATTTTAAAAGTTGCTCACTTCCAAACATTCACATAAATTATTAAACAGTTAAGTTTTTTTACACCCTAAAGCAGATTATTCATGAGCTAAAGTGCACTTTCAATTCAACCCCTTCTAGTGAGCTACTTCCACAAGAATCTCTGCCCAGCCAGCTACTGCCTGAAGCCCAAATCCCCAGATCCCTTTAAAACAGGATGGCCTTGTGCCATAGACAGGCTTAGGGGAAAGACTTTCATTCCTCCAGGTTCTCACTTTACTGGAGACCTTTCCAAGAGGAAATGGGTTAAATATTCAGAGGTGATTTTAAAAAAGCATCTTCCAGGAACAGCTTTTCCTTGCTCTTGTCCAAGAGATACCTCTGCTAGTTAAAGCAGTTCTGAAATGACTGTAAAAGAAAAACAAATGCAAGCAAGAGTAGAAAGTATCCCGAGTTTCTAAAATAAACCCCATGCCATCAGACAACTCAAATTTCACTCATTAAAGGAGTTATGGGAAAGGCTCCATGTGCTGACAGTTTAACTCCTGTGGGCACACACCGAGTCAAACATCCAGCACCTAAACAGGAAGCAGAAAACTTTAGAGAAAAAAAAAAAAAGAAGTTGAATTGGAAAGACTTTTTAATGTATTTTCATTCCTGAATACACCTGCCAGCTGTCCTCACTGCTTCACATGATGTTAACTCCTTTCTTAACACTGAACACCACTTAAATCACATTCACTGCTGCCTCAACACGTTGGCTCCTTCCTACAGCTGCTTGTGTTTGAAATGAAACTACAGAATTAGAAATAATTAAACCTGCCTTGTCGAAAGAACTCCTTTAAAGACAAGTTTTGCTAATTGGCAGAGAGAAGAGCCCTGAGCAAAGATTCAAATATCACTGAACTTCGGGCATTGCCAGAGCTACACCAACACCGAGCTCAGATCCTTTGGGAAACAACAACCTATCCATTATACAAAGCCCCCAATATTTTCTAGGAGTCTTAAAAATACTGTATTTCCCTAGTAAGGTGGGCTCATTCAAACAGTTCTACGCACCAGTACATTCATTAGCAGCTGAAGACTTTTAAAAGCATTTCAAAATTCACAAACAAAAATTAGACACGTCAATTTGAGAATTTCAAAATCCATTTGCTTTGCCTGAAGGAAAAGAGCTGCCTCACCAATTTCTGAAGCTTTTCAGTGTACTGCAACCTTTAGAAAGCACAAGGAATTCCTTTAGTGAATTCACAATGTGTCCGATCAAAAATTTATCTCAACGGGAAAACTGAAACTCTTCTCAATTTTAAGGCATTTTCTAAACACTCTCATCCCTGCCTGCCAGGTGAGACATTTTCAAAGCCTGGTTAATCCCCATTTCCCAGCTGAGAAAATAAAAAGAAGCTGAGAAAACAGAAAGAGTAATCCACTTTAAAAAAACTGGCAAGTCAGAGAATTAGGACCAAAACCAGCATTTGCAGCTCTCCGTGACAGACAGTGATCACTGCATCAGTCAAAATACAAACAATGAAGTGTGCATTTTCACAGTAAAGGAAATAATTTTACCAGCTTTAGGTGAAACCATGGTCTGAGCTCTCACAAACCTTGAGCAGTGAAGTAAGGCGCGAGCATAAACACTGAGCTCCATCTGCTCCTCACATCCCTGGTAGGTCACTAGGAGATCTCTTCTTCTCACCTGAAAACATCTACTACCTCTTACCACCTGTATTTAAATGGAAATAAGAGCTTTCCAAAGTCTTATCAAGCTCAAGACACAGTTATTCCAAACAGGAAAGTCAGCTAAGAGTCCTTAGACCTTCAGGGAACATGGCAGTGTTTCCTTGCTAAAATGAAACTGCCCTCAAAACCCTGCCCTGCCCAAGGGTTCCTTGTCCTTTGCCCCCAGGTGAGTGCCCTGGACTCCCTCCCTCTCCCCTACCTCCTCCCGAAGGCTGGCAGGAAACGGAACCTCCTCCACGGTGCTTCCCTGGTCAGACTGACCTTGCCAGGAGGCAGAATCAATCCAGCTCTGCATCCAGTGGACTTTATCGTTCCCGAGAGCCAACCTGGCAGCCCTGCCTGGCACCCAAGGGATTGGTTATCTCTGAAAATGCTGCCCTTGGGAGGGCAAACGGGAACCTGGTGAGGCTCAGTTCCTAGCACTGCCACGGCAGGGACAAAATCCCCTCCAGGAGGACACTGCGCAACTACAGAGAGCCCTCAGAGTTCGGGGCCAGACAATCATATTTGATAAGGATTTAGGTGCCTGCTTGGAAAACTCAAAGTGGAGCTGGGTACAGCCTTCCTGACTCACTCCCAGCCCAAAAGAGAGCCCTCGCTTTGACAGGGCAGAGCAGAGCAATCGCAGCAACCATCTTCCCAGGAGAAGAAGGCGAAGCTCCACGACCACCTTGTTTTGGGCTTTTCCCAGTTGCCAGCAGCAGTATGTTCATCAGGATGCATGTTAATCCCTGGGGCCTGGCTGCTGAAGTCCTCTCCTTCCCCTTGCTCTCTCCACCACCAGCCCTCTGCCACCATCTCCTTGCGGATGCTTTGGAGACTCAGCTCCCTTCCAACGCCCTGTCCCAGGACTGGGAGCTCTGCTGGTGCCATCCCTGGGCCCTCCAGAGCAGTGCCTTTAACTCAGGCTTGTTTGCAGAACAAAGAGCTGCTTCTCTGTTGTGGCGGCCACGTCAGAAAATGTGTGTGTTGTGAGGAACGAGAAAATACTGGCACAGACCTCCTAATGCAGGAAACAGATAAAAGGGGAAAAAACCCAAACAAAACCAACCCAAGACAGATGTAAGAGCTCTGAAGCTGAATTATCTTAATAATTATACACAGACCTAGACTGGGGTCCCCATGGCTTTTTCTTATCATCACAAGAGCAAAAAATCTGCGGCACCAATCAATACCCTCAATTCCAAAGTTATTTTGAAACCAAAGGTGCTTGAATAATTCTCCCTTTTAAACACAATTAAAATGCTGGCAAACAACACAAGCACACGTAGGATTTTAAAAGGATATTATTCTAAAATAACCTCAAGGTTGGAGCTGACATACCTGGTCCAAGCATCTACCCACCCACTCTAGCATCCAGCCCAGAGAGGGAGCACAGGCAGGTGCCTCCAGGGGGAAACTCCCCCAGTTGGCCAAAGGTCCAAGTTGGATCCCACTACAAATTTCATCCCAGTAAATCAAGCTCTGACGAGCTGCTGCATAGCAGAGCACAGGCCCTGGATGCACTGCACAAGCTGCATGGTGTTAAAAAGTGCAAAAAGTACCCAGCCAGAGCCATTATTCCCCAGACAAGAGCCTGATATTTTTGTTTTAACAACCACGCCGGTGCAAAGATGAGCCAAATTCCACACACAACTTAGATAACAGGGAAGATCCGAGTTACTCTTCCTCAAGCATTTCTGTTCTGGCCTCAAGAACTGCAATATCCACCCAGTGAACTTTGGAGTGAGGCTTTTCCTGCCTCTAGAACATTACCCAGTGCACTTTGTTCAAAGTGCTCCTATTCGCTCAAAGACTCTGCCCAAAAACTCGTAACATTTTTGCATTTTTATAATTCTACTTGCTTCTACTTTATTTCAGTCTGTAACAAGGAATCAGTTCTCTGGTAACATATTTTTTAACCTGCTTCCACAATATCCCTGTGAGTTTAATTACCTTCATCTCCAAAATGAAGAAACTGAAGCACTGAGGAGCAAGTCCCTGTTTTTTTAGGGAGATGCCACTCCAGGACTCACACTGTGAGGACACTCCAGCTGCAAAGCAAATTCCAGACTTTCTCTAGAGCAGGCCCTGTTTTTTCAGGTATAAAAGCCCACCAAAAAACCAGGCAAAACCAAACAAAGACAGAAATAAGATGATAAAAAACTCACAGCATACCATGTTGGAATTGCCCCTAACCTGGCTACTACTGCAAGGCCTCCAAAACAATGATTATATTTTATATCCAGACAGACATCACTGGCCGTAAGGCAGCACGTGAACTGGTTTATTTTGGCTACAGGCAAAACACAGCACAGCTCCTCGAAAGCAGCTGATGAACCCTCTGCTCCCAAATCAGCCTTTGGGCAGTTGCCACATGGACCAGGCTAAATCCAACTCTACCCTCCCTGCTCTGCATTACCATTAACCTACTAAAAGCAGGTTTAGATGGGATATTGGGAAGAAATTCTTCCCTGTGAAGGTGGGGAGACCCTGGCACAGGTTGCCCAGAGAAGCTGTGGCTGCTCCATCCCTGCGTTTCCAAGGCCAGGCTAGACGGGACTTGGAGCAATCTGGGCTAGTGGGAGGTGTCCCTGCCCACGGCGAGGGGGTGGGACAGGATGATCCCTAAGGTCCCTTCCAACCCAAACCATCCTGGGATTCTGTGATTCCAAACCACCCTGCGCGGCTTTGACGGGATAAATACGAACAGCGGCGACAGAGACCAGGCAGAAAACAGCGGAAGGAGCAAACCCCGGCGGGCTCGGGGAGCAGGAGCAGGGTTTGATCGCCAGGGACGGGAAGGGGGGCTCGGGCAGCCCGCGGGCACTGACAGCGGCCGCGTACGGCCCGGCGGGCGGGATCCCGGCAGCAATTTACCCTGGCAGCTGCACCCCCGCCGCTCCCACCGGGATGGAGAGGATTTCCCACTTCCCGAGGGCCCCGCGCCCGGGGCGGTGCTGGGGGGCGGGGGCCGAGGCGGGGCCCGCCGGGCCCGCAGGAAGCGGGGCCGGGCCGCGGGTCTCGCACAGCCGGGCCGGGCGGGAGCTGCCGGGCCGGGCCCGGCGGGGTGGGGGGTGAGGGAGGGACGGAGGGGCAGGGAGGGAGCGGGGCCGGGGCCGCGCACGGAGCGATGCCCGGCGCGGGCCCGGCGCAGCGCGGCCCGGCCGCACAAAGGGCGGGGGGCGCGGCCGGCAGGTGTGAGTGCACTCACCAGGTGAGGCGGCGCCGCCGCCTCGGTGGACGGACGGACGGACGGGCGGGCTGGACGGAGCTGAGCGCGGCGGCGGGACCGGGACCCGGCGGGGCGGCGGCGGCGGGGCCGGAGGGGAAGCGGAACCGCCGCGCGTGGCCACAGCCCGCGGGGGCGGGCGGGGGCGGGGCACCCCGGCAGGGCACCGCCCGCCGGAAGATGGCTCGCCGCGGTGCATGATGGGAGTTGTAGTTCCCACTCGCTGAGGGAAGTGTTTTATACCTTTAAATGATATATATTATTTTTCTATATATATGTTTATTTAGCTATATAATATTATATTTCTCTGGGCCACAATAGCCCTAAAAAATAAAGTTATGTATATAATATATTTATATATATATAACATTTATATAAATTTTATACATGTAATATATAATACATTTTATAATATATACATTGTGTATGTTATCGATAATAAATCTTAAATAAAATAAATATTTTATATACAATAAATTTTATAGATATAACAGATATATATAACATTTATATAGATTTATATAGATTTGTATACATATAACACTTTTTCTAGGAGCTTCCAAGCAATGCAATGGCAACACAGCCAAGAAAGCAATGGATGAGCCCTAAATTCCTATGAGCCATTTAATCTTCCACATGACTTCCCCAAGCTGCCTTGCAGCCTGGACTTCACCTCCTCTATCAGTCCTGATTTGATGCAAGGTGTGGTTTTCCTTTCAGAAGGACCAGGATACACACCAGGAAGCTTCTCCTCACACGGGTCGTGGGGGAGAGATCCACGAACACCTCAAACCTCCACACAGGTCTGGACACATCAGGCTTCCCAGCCTGTGGTCCCAGCCAACACGTGCTCCCTCACAGTGCACTACTGCAGAGCTGGTGGGCACAGCACACTTGTACCCACAGACCTGCCGTATTTCAGCCCATTTTCCAGGAGCAGTATTCCAAAGTGACCCCACTGTGGCTCTGAGTCTTCCCCCTGCAGGCACGGCCGTGGTCTTCGCTCCTCCTTCCCTATGTTACTTTCCCTTTCTGACTCAGCTCCGCACGTGATCCTCCCAGGATCAATTAGCTTTTGCTAATTCATTTTTTGCATCCTCTCTGTGGAGAAACCACAGCGGGTTTGTGACTTCACCCTTCCCTCAGCTCTGCTTCCCATCCCCAGGAGGCACCTCACCCTCCGTGCTGCCTTTGCCTGGTACCTCCTCCTTTTGCAGAATCCTGACCCCCCTCCCATCCTTCTGTCTCCCTCCCCAAGCACAGCTTTTGAAACAAACTAGGAGGGTTTTTTCTTGTGTGTTTTTTTTTGTTTTGTTTGTGTTTGTTTTTTTGTTGTTGTTGTTGTTATACCCATTAATTTGTGTTCAGAAAGCCTTAACTCCCAACATGGCCTTCAACACCCCATCCCCTTTTCCTTCCCCACTCTGATTTGGTCCTTACACACATGAATGATGGAAGTGTTTGTGTCCGACCCTTGTATTGAGCTCAAAAGCTGATTGATGGGAATCTTGATCTATATTTTACCTATGTATTTTTGCCCCTTGCAATATTTTTTCTCATTTGTTCAAAAGATGAGAGTAGGTTTAGATTGAATATTGGGAGGAAATTCTTCCTTGTGAGGGTGGGGAGGCCCTGGCACAGGTTGCCCAGAGAAGCTGTGGCTGTCCCATCCCTGGAAGTGTAAGACAGAGCGAGCCCAGGAACAAATTCAACTCTGGGAATTAAAAATCCCACTAAGAGACAAGCGCTACAATGCTGGTCCCAGCTCTGATGGGGTTAAACAGCCCAAATCTCTCTTTGATTTTTGCCTTTTCACGTCTCCCGCCAGCAGATGCAGAGCTGACCCCTCTGAGGTAGTGGATGAAGTCCTGGCACAGTCACCGAGGGCAAACAAGAGCCCAGTGTCTGAGCACTTGCCAACCTGTTGTGGGCGAAGTCACAAGACGAGCTCTCCGTAGAATTCCAGCAGGAGAAAGATGCCCAAGGGATCCTGAGGCTACAGCTGGACAGCGATGAAAGGACAATTCTGCTGCCGGGAAGGCTTGGCCTCACACTGAGCCCACAAAAGGAGTTTTCATGCACCCCCCCCTCACACACGCACTCCCCCAAATCACCTGCTTTTACTGACGCACCCGCAGTTCATAGGGAATAAAATCCTCCAGGCGGGAATTACCATGGGCTCACGGTGCCACCTACTGACAACTGGAGACAGCGCCCGAGCGCCTCTGCCGCTCCAGAGCCACTCAGCTTTTCCATTAGGTAATTTCCTCTCCATTTCCTCCTATTTATCAACTGTCCTGGCGACTGAAGGCAAGTCTTCTAAATATTTGCTTCTAGTCACTATCTTTTCACTGGCTCTCATCTTCCAAGGGGCTCTTTCCGCTCCTGAAGCAGAGTGAAGTTTCTTTCAAACTTTCTGAACTTAACTCCGATCAACTGTTCAGCCTGGAGAAAAAGAGGCTCGTGGGGAACCTTCTCCATCTCTACAATTCCCTGACAGGAGGGTGGAGCCAGGTGGGGAGCAGGCTCTGCTCCCAGGGAACAAAGATGAGAGGAAGCAGCCTCACGTTGCACCAGGGGAGGTTTAGGTTGGATAACTGGGAAAGATTCTTCATGGAAAGGCTTGTCCAGCCCTGGCACAGCTGCCCAGGGCAATGGTAGAGTCCTCATCCCTGGAGGGATTTAAAAGCCATGTGGATGTGGCACCTGGGGACATGGGTTAGTGGTGGCCTTGGCAGTGCTGGGGAACGGTTAGACTTGATGGTCTTAGAGGGGTTTTCCAACCTAAATGATTCCATGATTCTAATTTGACCAAGAGCAGCCAATCCCTCCCAGTTCTGAGAATGGGAGAGATTATTTCAGCCTTCTCCTGTCCCAGGTATGCACAGAATGTCTCTTCACAAATTCATACATAACCCATCTGCACAAGAAGCTTAAAATTCAGAGACTTTAATGACTCCATAATGTTTTCCATACCCTTAATAACCAATCCCTGAGTCAAGATGTACAAACAGCTCTACAAGAGGCAGCACTGGATGCAGGCTCTGGGCCAGAAGGAGGGAATGGCAGCCCCAAACTCCATTCCTGACTGTTGTCCTGCTGCCCACAGCGGTGCTTTCAGCTTCCTGAGGCTTTTTCCTACCTCCACCTGCTTTGGCTATGGACAACACATCCAAACTGTCTTCTGGGCTGTGGAAGGTGTTTCCAAGCATTAAGGCAAAGGAACTGTAACCCATCATAGGACCCTTGCACCCCCTAAGATACAAATAGCGGTAGAACAGGATCCATGTAGGAAGCTGGTGTAATATCCAGTTAGTTTTGCTAGTGGGGGTCAGTGAATTCCGTGTTTCCTCTCTCTGAGTAGGTCACAGGGAGAAGTGTCCGTGCCTGCAAGTGGCGGCGAGGATGAGGCTGGCACAAAGTAGGGTGGTGAGCAGGGTCAGGGCACACACCAGGGAACTGTGTTCCCTGAGCCCCACAGGAACCTCCAGCATCGATTCCTCCGGTGCCTGCAAGGAAAAACAAACAGATTGTACTCATTTAACAAACCGTTTTATTTTGACTGCAAAGGAGAGGATTAGTAACCAGACCCTGATTTCATCAGCCCTTGGCTGAGGCTTCTTCTGGGATTCGAAATCAAAACCAAGATGGGACATCCCCTTTTAATTCTCAGCAAACACAGTGCCAGCCACTGCTGCACTGCAAAGCTCAGTAAATGGGTCTGTATCTCTGTTCTTACACCAGCCTTGCCTTGGGGATTTGTAGGGAATACCACATGGAGGAGGGCAGCTCTCACAGTGAAGTCTGATCACTGAGAAGGCACATTTCGTCAAGGTGAACAACTATTTGTTTTTTTGTGGATGCAGGAAGCTCCAAAGTGTTTTTGGACAAGAGCTGCAGATATCCCAGGCATCTCCAAACATCTTAAATATAAGAAGGCATGTGTGTTACAACAACAGCAGATTTTTTATTATATTTTATATATTTTTTATATTATATAATAATATATAATATATATTACACAATATATATTATAACATATAATATATAATATTTAATATTATACATATATTATAAATATATATTATAAATATTTATTTAATTTTTAATAAATCAGTCTTATTTCTGAATTTCTATGGCTGCTGCGACCCTTCTGAGCATCAAAGGCAGTTGTTGAACACACTAAAGATCCAACTTTCCTTGGTTTTGAACACAGAATAAGAAATTTCACCTTTCCTAAATACTTACCCAATCAGATACCAACAAACAAACAGAAGTGGCCTTTTTTATAGGATGCTATTCCTTAAATCTTTGCAGTTTTACCCCTAGTTTAGTTAGATCATCAAGCAGTTTTCCACTTAGCTACTCCTCTGAAGCACCAACATTGTAAAGACTTTTCTTAATTTGACCAGAGCCAATTATATCCTAGAATTTCAAGTAAACTAGTAAGGAAAAAAAATAGTGAGGAGAGCAGCCATCCCAAAGGGCCAGGAGAGCACAGAGTGACTGTAAGCACGGCAGAAGGGCAGGATGACCCCTGCCAAAAGCCAGTCAGAAAGGAAGAAAGGAGCCTCCCAAAGGGGGGAACCACCCAACTAGTCTTCCATTGATTAATTCCTGTGCTATGGAAGTTGCCAATCACACGAAAAAGAGAACCAGGAGATGTTAAAAAGAACCAGAAAGGAGAACTCACGGGTCTGTGTGTTGTGCTGTGCCACTGACAGGGACCGACGTTCCCGGCCGAGCAGGGAGCTCCCACTTCAGCAGGCTCCCAGCACTCTGCTGCCAGGTGACCTAGGGAAGGCATCAGTGCATCAGCAGGAGTTAGGGGGGATAAAGAAATCTGGCCTGCAAGACTCTGCCAAATAAGGGATCTTTTCCCCCAAAACAGCTTGACAGAATCAACTCCCTGGAAGGCAAGTGGTGAAACAGAAATGTGCCAGCTCCCCTGCATGGCCAAAGTGATGCTGGGCAGTGTCTCCTGTGAACTCTGCAACAATTCCCTTCCTGATACAGCAGGTACCCAAGAAAGAATCTCACTTGTGTGGTATCTTGGCCCTTTCAGGCATTGGAACGGCCTGCCCAGAGAGGTGGTGGATTCACCATCCCTGGAGGTTTTTAAGCAGAGATTGGACATGGCCCTTAGTGCCATGATACAGTAATTGGAGTTGGATCAGGGGTTGGACTCGATGATCTTGGATGTCTTTTCCAACCCAATCTATTCTATGATTCTATGATTCTGTCCTTAACAGGGCAAAGAATTCCTTGTTAGTCTGTAGATCCTTCAACTTTACCCATACTTAGAATTTTCCCCAAAATAAGTAAGTCATTCTTACATTTCTCCTTCTTGGCCTTCTGTCAGCACACGCAAGAACTCCCAATACTTTATACCTTTTCATATTAATAATAAATGTTTTCCTGTTCATAAGTAGTAAATGTGGCAGAAAACCAGGAAGACTGCAGATCCCTTTTTTAAGTGAAAAGGCAGTCTTGCCTGTCCCTATGTTTATCCCAGAAAATCACTGCTCAAGTGACGCACAGGTGAAGATAAAGGAGTTGAAAAACCTTAGTGTGTTTGATTTGGCACCTGGCAGGCATGATTTTGTGAAGGGACACAAGATTTGCAGCAAAACCGTAGGATTTCATTGTTCATATAACTTGAAATACTCATTGTCAGTGGTATCAGGTTCTTGTTTCATCCCAGTTTGAGACTTCGACCATTCTAAGCTTCAGGCACAGTTTCCTACATTCTCCCCTTACATAGAGAGAATGCAGGAATAAAGTGTTAGAAACCATCAGAACACCTTGATTCCTCTAAATAGGTGACAGTGGATATTAAATGCACCCTGCACAGCTTCAGCTGCCAAGGGAAACACCAGGAAAACGTGGTCGGAGCAGGAGGCCTTTGGCAAGCCAGGGCCTGCTGGAATCACGACAAACACACGGATCGTGACAACTGCCAGCACTTCTAGCTGGAAGAACCCAGACAGCACAGGGATACAATGGCAGCAGCACAACACCAAGAGGTGTGCTGACAATCCACCTGCCTTTGGCCAGGCAGCAGCATCCAGTGAGGAAGACAACGGGGTGTTTATCAGGGCCACACCTTCCCCTCGTGCTCACACAAGGACCGAGAGCTCCGTGTCCAGCACACAAATACAGAGCCAGATTCCAAGCTCTGGACTGCCCACACTTATTCCTCTCTCCCCAGAAGAACGTCACTGAGAATCTCACTGTGGCAGCAGCAGAGAAGCACTTGTGGGCTCTCCAGAGTGACCAAGGCATGCTGGCTCCCCTCGGTGGGCCGGTGGTACCGCGCGTGCACAGGCACGGCAGCACGGAAACAGCGGGAACACCGCGGGTCTGCCTCCAGGTACAGCACCAACACAAGAGCCGTGGCCAAGTACTCAGGAGCCTCCACATCAGTGACGTCAGGAATTAACAGCGCCTGCAAGTGGGAAAGATACAGGTGTGACTGGGATCGGAATCGACACAAGGCGGGAAAATAATTTCCTCCATTTTATTTTCTTGATTTCATGATCAAGCTGGAAATTCTGGCCTTAAGCCGTTCCAAAATACCTTTCCAAGTCCCTCTCCAATGACTGATTCCTGCATGTGAAAAGCTTAGTGTTACTGTTCCTGCAGCCAAACCCGGGAGGCATCAGCTCAGTGAGGTGTGTAAGCAGGGTCGACCTGCACCTCAGGCATCCCAAGGTGCCCACAGCCTTTCCATCCATTTTAACCAAATCAAGCACCTAAGGAAATGAAAGCCACAGCCTTTGCACATCTCTCTACCCAAAATGTGAAGCAAAGACTGGAAAGTAACACAGAAAGCCGGGATGAAAACGAAGCTGGGAAGCCACTCTGTCTGAACACACAGCATGCTGCTTACAGCTCCCCACCACCTTTTTGGGGGTTTACCCTTCCCCCTTCTCAGCCTGAGTGCTCTTCCCACAGCTGCTCACCTGGGGGCTAAGCAGAGGAGCAGCAGCTCCACCAGACAGTGTGAGGGAATATCAGCAGCACACGACACAAAACTGATGCTGATCAAACCAGAGATACAGCCACAAAGACGATTCTGTGTGGCATCTCCTTCCAGGGATCAATCCCCTTGGGGCAACAAGCCAAATAATGATCAGAGATTACAATTCCCTGAGTCCTTCTCTGGGTCACTGCCAGATCTCCTGGCATTGGGGGCTGTTACCTTGGTTAAATTTTGCTGCTGCAGCGTCGCCAGCTCGTAGGGATCCACATAGATTCCCGGTGGAAGATGAATTCTAGCTGCCACTGCACATCCCCCTGCATCCTCCCCGAGCTCCACCTTCACCAGCAGGTCCCTTCAAGCAAGAACAGGAGCAAAACATTTATACTTGTCCTTCAAAAGTCAGCATAAAACCCCTGAGAGACATTTCCCAGATGCACAGAGATAAGATGCAGCTCTCACACTGTGCAATTCATTCAGAACACAGTTCCCTGCCAAGCCGTGCTCTCCCTCACCCCAACTCCACATCATGGCCAAAATGAAGTTTCACTTCTTTGTTAACTTCTCAATTACCAATGGTCTCCACTGAGGTCTTAGAAAGGGAACCCTAGTGGGTGTGTTCTCCCCCATTAGAGCTTGTTAATCACTTGATCATGTTAATCCATTCCTGAGACATGCCCAGGGATCACGGCTCAAGGAGCTGATACAACTGTGCCTGAAAAGAGGAGAAACTTCTTCTCATGTAAAATCAGCCCTCACGCTGTGCTGATGGAGGGCTGGGAGAGCACTCACCTATGAAACCCCTCCTTGAGGAGCTCCTGTGTGACTGTGGTGTCCCGACAGGCCGCCTGCACATCTGAGGTGACACAGAGACTACAGGTTACAGTGTGCACAGAACAGCACAGAGATCACAGCACAGAGATCACGGCACTCACAGTGATCACAGCACACACACAGATCACACGGGCTGGCAACTTTAACCAGTGAAGCCATATAATGCATGAATATCTCATCTACAAAACCTCTCACTGCAGAATTTGACTGTGATCAACAGCAGAAGAGTTTTCTTGGGCCACTGACTGAGATATGCTTCCCAAATCACAGAATGGTTTGCGTTGGGAGGGAGCTTAAAGCCCATCTCATTCCACCCCCTGCCATGGGCAGGGACACCTTCCACGAGCCCAGGTTGCTCCAAGCCCCTTCCAACCTGGCCTTGGACATTTCCAGGGATGGGACACCCACAGTTTCTCTGGGCAACCTGTGCCAGGGCGTCCCCACCCTCACAGGGAACAATTCCTTCCCAATATCCCATCTAACCCTGCCCGCTGGCAATGGGAAGCCATTCCCCCTGTCCTGTCCCTCCAGGCCCTTGCCCACAGTCCGTCTTCAGCTCTCCTGGAGCGCCTTTGGGCACTGTAAGGGGCTCTAAGGTCTCCCCGGAGCCTCCTCCTGCCTGTGCTGCGCACGCCCAGCTCTGGCGGCCCGTCCCAGCACAGAGGCCGTTCCTGTTCCCGGTCCCGTCCCCGTTCCCGTTCCGCGGGCACTCACGGAGGGCGCACAGCAGCGCTCCCAGCCCCGCGCTCACCCGCCACCCGCCCGCCATGACGCCCGCTCCCAGGGCTGCCCGCCGCGCCGCCGGACCGCGCGGGGCCCGCCCGCGCCTCGCTCCGCCGCGCCGCGACCCGCAGGCATTGGTGCGGACAGCCCGAAGGGGGCCTTCGCAGCACTGGGCCTTTGGCTCCGCGGCCGCCGTAGCCATGGCAACCGGGCGGGGGAGGAGGAGGAGGAGGAGGAGGAGGAGGAAGCAGCAGCAGCAGCAGCGCCCTCCTGCCCGGCCCTGCGGCCGCCAGAGGTGAGGGAATGGGCGGGAGTACAAGAGGGACATGGAGCGCCTGGAGCGGGCCCAGCGGAGGGTACGGAGATGCTGAAGGGATGGAGCATCTCCGGCAGCAAGAAAGGCTGAGGGAGCCGGGGCTGTTCAGCCTCCAGAGGAGACGCTGAGAGGGGCCTCCCCCATGTCTGTCAGAGTCTGCAGGGAGGGGCAGGGAATGGGCCCGGCTCTGCTCGGGGCGGCCCAGCAGTGCGTGCCCGGCACAGGAACTGATGCCCAGGAAGTTCCATCTGGACATGAGAGACAATTCCTTCCCTGTGCAGTGACCGAGCACTGAACGGATTGCCCAGAGAAGGTGTGGAGTCTCCTCACTCCGGAATATCGCTGGGATATCCCAGACCCCTCTGGACACAGTCCTGTGCCGTGTGCTCTGGAGCAGGGAGGAGGGACCCGATGAGCCCCTGTGGTCCCTTCCCGGACCTATCAGGGACCTGCGAGGGGCGGGATGGGACGGGATGGCCCGGCCTGGCCCCGCCGTTCCTCCCACCCCCCCCCCACCCCGGGCTGCTCCTGCGGCGGAAAACCGGCTTTTTATCGGCAAAAGCGGCGTCGCTGCTGCGGCAGTGTTGGCAGCGCCATAAAACACACCCGCGGATCCAAAGAGCAGCTGCTCGCTTTTATGTTTCTCGTCTTCACAGAATCCCAGGCTGGTTTGGGTTGGAAGGGACCATAAAGCTCATCTCGTTCCACCCCGTGCCATGGGCAGGGACACCTTCCACTAGCCCAGGTTGCTCCAAGCCCCGTCCAGCCTGGCCTTGGACAATTCCAAGGTGGTTAATCTCCACTATTAAGGACTTTGCTGCTAATTTGAACTCTTTCCTATGTGGCTTTTAACAAAGAAAGAAGACTTCTACTCTACTTCAAAGCAGCTTTTGAATATTAATGTAAGTTTTCTCGATTTGGTGACATAAATTGATTTTTTGGGGGGGTATAGTTTGTTACTTTGCCTCACTTGGAGTCTGTAGGGCAGTCTGAGCTCACCTTCACATTTGGCATACTTTCACTTATTTAAAACCAAAATAAAAGTAGCACATGCACTCAGTGCTGTTAGCTGAGCTGGGAAACAGGAGCTGCAGCAGACTTGTACCTTTAAATCTCCTCTAGTTTAATTTCATAATCTATTAATTTTCACCCAAAAAGGGGGTGGAGCCAAGGGCAGAGCGGATGCTGAGAAGTTCCCAAGAGCATTTGGGGACAGATGTGATAAGGCAGAAAAGAGAAGATGTTGCTGCCAGTCAGGCTGATGTTCCTCCTGTCCTGCTGCAAGACCAAATGTTTCAGAGCAAAGTAAAAAGGATAATTAGGGATTAACTCCATAACCTTCTCTGTGTAGTAGCTGACTGAGGCACTTGTACCTTAGAGTTCAGCAGCCCTTACTTTGAAATGAGACATCTCCACTCTTTAATTAATATTTTCATTGCCACTTAATAAGAAGTTTTGTTATTTTTGGTTTTCATTTCTGACTCTGTTCTCTCACCAGGTTACAGATCTAGTGCTGTAGTGAGATCACTCTGAAGCTTCAGAAAGCAAACACTGATGGGTGCCCCTGCTCTTAAAATCTTTAAAAAGGGGCAATCCCAGTATTAGACACATCAACACTGTGGGTGCAAGGCTGTCACTCACCATATGGAATCAGGAGTGTGATAGCCCCAGGCTTGTGACAAACAGAGACAAGTAAAGGAATTCCTCCCTGGCACAGGTTGCCCAGAGAAGCTGCGGCTGCCCCTGGATCCCTGCAAGTGTCCAAGGCCAGGCTGGACAGGACTTGGAGCAACCCGGGCTAGTGGAAGGTGTCCCTGCCCACGGCAGGGGGTGGGACTGGATGAGCTTTAAGGTCCCTTCCAACCCAAACCATCCTAAGATTCTGTGATTTTGCTGAACATGTCACTCTACTCCTGACAAAAAGACCAGAGCTGAGGGGCTCTCAGACTTCGTTTCCTTTTTCCCTGTTTCCCAGTGAGGTTCACCATTGCTGAGGACTCTGATGAGGCCACTCCCAGCAGCAGGACTGGAATGACTTTCACTGCACAGAAGTGCGGGGTCTGCTTCCAGCCCCTATCCATCGTCCTCATCTACAGAGACCACAGCCAGGATAAGACCCGCCGGCGCATCATGCCCGTCAGGAATTTCTCCAGGTTCTCAGGTGAGGTGCATTCATTCACCTGTAGCATTCCCCAGGTCCCCTCCAGACACAGAGAGGAACTCACTGGTAACAGCATTGTTAGTAACAGCTGAGTAGCCTCTTAGCAGCATGCAGGATGTGCAGACAGGGGTTGTTTTGGGGTGACACTGTCTCCCCGAGGAGTCCAAGGCTCCATCTCAACCTGAGCAGTGGCCCTCTAAGTCTGGAGGGTTTGGAGAGACACCCTTGGGAGGGACTGGGAGAAGAAGTGTCTCTGGGAAGAGCTTTGCTTGCAGCTGTAAGTCCTCGTGGTGGTTTTTGTCTCCAGACTGCAGCGTTGCCGCCGAGCAGCTGAAGAACAACCCTCGGCACAAGGCCTACCTGGAAGGGGTCTCGATGCGTCAGCTCCGGAAGCTCTACAGTTTGCTGAGAGGCCATCTGGGAGGAGAGAGCCTGGCTGAGAGCTTGGAAAAGTTTCAGCAGGAAGAGACCATTGACCCAGAGGAGGATATGAACAAACTAGACGACAAGGAACTAGCCAAGAGGAAGAGCATCATGGATGAGCTCTTCGAAAAGAACAGGAAGAAGAAGGATGACCCTGATTTCGTCTATGACATTGAGGTGGAGTTCCCACAGGACGAGCAGCTGGAGTCCTGTGGCTGGGACATGGAGTCAGATGAAGAAATCTGATTCCAGACAGAAGTGTCTTGGATGGGCAGCTCAGAGACAAATCTCACTGTCCCAGCAGGGAGGACGATGTCGGTGCCGCAGGAGCTGATGCACGTTGGCTATGGAGAACCCGAGGGGCCACAGCAATCCCAGGGTTAAGAGAGCTTTGTTTAAGAAGCCAGACTTGATGAAATGGAAACTGGACAGCTGAAATCGTTGGGTGGTTTTAGTCTTTTCCTACATAAAAGAATTTTAAATTATTTAATCTTTCAATTTTTTTTTTTTTTTTACATTTCAGTCAGCTTTGGCTGAAAATGAAATGTTAAATATTCATGTCCTGAAAGCACTGTTAAAGCTGTATTGCACAAGTAGAGTGTTTCTTACTGCCTGCTGGGAAGCTAAATATATATCATTCTTTCTGGATAAATCAAGAGTGCACTGAGGGTATTACTCTCATATTTCCTGAAAAATGCTTAAATCTCCAGTTTTAGCTTACACAAATATAAATCCTTATGTTTAAAAAAAGGAATATCTAGGAAATGGATTAGTCTTGAAAGCACTTTTGAACACATGGTGATTTCAAATTGCTGCAGTGGGGTGGTTGGTTCCTTACACTGCTGGATGATGCTTTCTTATAAGTGCTCAATTCTGGGAGAATGTGCTTAAAGTATCCAAAAAAATAAGTGGTAAATGGTCAAAGGCTGGGCTTTAGAGTTAAACAAAACCTTCACTCATCCCACTGAAGCTTTTATTGCCACTGTCTACCTCAGCTGGTCTGTACCAGCCAAATCCTTCTCTCCTGCAACAACTGGAGGACTGAGTTTAGGATTTTTTAGGAAATTGCACAACTCTAAGAGCTTCCCGGGTTTTGGCTTTCTGAACCCGGATGGCCACGAGGGCTGTGGGTGGGATGGGCCTTCATCCCGAGCTGCTACCTGAGGTAACTCAGAGGAGGTGTAAATGGCCTCCCAGACTAGTTCCTGCCTTCTCGCAACCACAAACTAAATAAAACATGTTAAATTTATCAGCAAGATGTCTTGTGGCAGCACAGGAGCTGGGGCTGGAGGAGCTCTCCTCCCACACACCGAAACGATAGAGTCACTGCTGGGAAAATCTGGAACGGGTCTCAGTGAAACCACCGTGCTGTGCTATCACTGCAGAGCAGGAGGGAGCTCACACTTGGCCACAGAGGTCTTCAGTTAGAAACTGAAGCTGGTGCCTCACTTGCCAAAATTAAGGAAATCTAAAGCCTGACTCAGCTCTCCCAGGATCGGAAGGGGTGTGTGGGGCTCTGGCACAGGCCTTGCCTCAAAGACTGCGACAGAACAGCAGAGAAAGATCTCCCACTCGGGTGGGAGGGGGCCATGGGGGCTCCTCCTGCACACCCAGCCTGCACCCAGCGTTGTCCTGGCTGGGCTGGGAGGATGTGGCTGCGCTCCCTCCCTGGGCGTGGCCCTCCTCCCAGTGGGGGCTTCATGAGGCCTAACAAGTGCCCAGTTGAGGGGGTAATCACCTCTCTGGACCGTGAGGTTCCTGCTGGCCCGTCCTTCCAGCCCACACCAGTGCTTCAGGATGGACCCCTACTGGTCCTCCCAGTTCGGGCTCGTCTGTGAACTTGCCACAGAGGTGCTCCACAGCCTCCTTCAGATCATGGACAAAGATGAAACAGGACAGATCCCAAACCAGACCCTGGTGTTTTCTCACCAGTCTCCTACTAACCACTACCTTGTGTGCTTCATCTTCCAACTGATCCTTACCTGCCAACTGCCCACCCATCCAGACTGTGACATCCGTACTTGGATGAAAAATATTCTGGAACAGTGTCCAAAGCTTTGCTGAAGCTGAGGGAAATGGCACCCAGCACTTTCCCTTGCCTACAGATCCACCCATTTCACCCTGAGAGGAAAGCAGGTTGGGCAGGCACAGGTTACCCTCATCAATCCACGCTCACTGCTCCCAGCCACCCTCTTCTAGAGATGTGCTCCAAACAAAGGATACTCCGTGGTTTTCCCAACATGAAGGTGGTGTTCCCTGGGATGTCCTTTTGGCCATTACTGAAGCTGGGTGGGACACTTGGGTTCTCCAGTCACAGAGGGCATTTCCTATCACCATGACCTTGCAAAGATGGTGAGAGCAGCTTTGTAAAGATGTCCACCACTCTGAAAGTGGAATCTCCTCCTGTTGCCCTGACATCCCATGCACATCTCAGCTTCAGGTGAGCCCCAGCTTTGCAGGCATGTGATGGGGGAGTGTGGATTATCCCCCACATCAGCTCAATACAATCAAGAACCCTCACTCTTTATCCATGCCCTGGACAGTGTGGGGTGCCCGGGTTCCTCCCTGGGCATGTGTTCCCACCTCCACCCCACATCCCCCTTCCAAAAGGAGAAGCAGCATTGGCTGTGGTGATGGGAAAGCGAACGTGGTGATGGGAAAGCGAACCCTCCAAGGCTGGCCCTGGCACCCACAGCAGAGGAAAACCCCCAGGGATTGGGGCACCTGCTCATCCTGCCATCAGGGAGATGCTGGAACGCTGCCAGGAGACAGCGCAGGGGTGTATTTATAGGTCACTGCTGTCCTCCAGGGGTGCAGCTTACTGGCAAAAGAAGGGCTGAAAGAGGCTGAGGGATTCCCCAGCTGGGCCCTGGTTTGGTTTTGGCTAGTTCAGTCTAAAACAGGACCAGAAAGCAGCCATTTCTGGGCCAGGTCTGGCAGTGGGGTTCCAGAGCCCTGGCCATGCTCGGCCCTATTGGAGCTGCCAGCAGGTCCAGCAGGTCGAACCTGTGCCGCTTCCCAGCCCAGCATGGCCACACCAGGCTCACCCGTCACCCCAGTCCCTGTTCCACACCCCTGCCGTGGAGGGGGCTGCCCTGCTCCTGCTGCCTGCACCACCCCTGGCATCTTCCCGGTCCCACACCAGCCTGGGCACCTCCCTCCACCACCTCCCAGGACAACTCCAGTGGGCTCGAGCCCCCAGCACACCCCACATCACCCTGCTGAGCCCACTCACACAAGGACATGCCCCCGGCATGCTCACACTGGCACTGCCGCTTCCCCTGTTCCTAATTAAACGTGTTTCACTGGAAAATTCAGACAATGCCAGGGAATAAAGCCGCTCTCGTTCTCAGCAGGGCTTTTGAGTTAGCACAAACCACCACCACTTCTTTCCCCCGCGGAGACTCTCCGAGGAACGGAGCGGCGCTTCCTCAGGTAGGGCTGCTGCTCCGGGAGGGACGGTGTGAGCTGCGACCGGAGCCAGGTGGAGGAAACCCCCCACACTCGCCGGAGCGGGGCTTGCACAACGAAGGGGAGGACTTTCTCTTACTTCCTTTGCATCTTTAATCCAGCACTGCTGGCAGAAAATTAAGTCCATGATAAAATATCACCAAGGATATAATTCACTCTCCCGCCTTTCAATCAATGTTTCACATCGTTTCACCCGGGCTGGCTTTAATGGACGTTTCTAACCAGGGCTGCGGTTTAGCAAAGAAACGAAGCCCCAAAATGTGTTCAGCCCTGCTGACAACGCCCATCTTATCAGCGCAGCAACAGGGTGCACGCTCCGGGCTGCCTGCGGGTTTGCAGTGCCCGCAAGAGGCTGAGGCTACAGAGATCCTTCTCTGCAGCACCCGGGTCATGTTTGCTCCAGCCCGGGCACTTCGTGGAGGCCGTTTGCAGATCTGGAGGATGTTTTGAGGTGGGAATAAATAAAAGGAACTGCCTGAAAGGGGGAAAGGGGTAGCGGGGGCGGGGGGGGGGAGGGGAAGAAAACAGCGCTGGGGAAAACTGTCACAGAATCACAGAGTGGTTTGGGTTGGAAGGGACCTTAAAAAAACATCTGGATCCACCTCCCTGCCATGGGCAGGGACACCTTCCGCTAGCCCAGGTTGCTGCAAGCCCCGTCCAACCTGGCCTTGAACACTTCAGGGATGTGGCATCCACAGCTTCTCTGGGCAACCTGTCCCTTCAGCCAAGAGGTGTTTGATGTGTCTGCTTAGCTCTTGTCCACACCAGCTGAAGGTTTCTGCTGAAGATGTGTCCCTTGAGGATTCCCAGGCTCCATCACTGGACACAGCCCTGCACCCTTTGGGTACCGTTAGGGCTCTCTCAGCACCCCGTGTCCTCCATCCATCGACTCTCCATCTCACCCACCCCGGAGGGGTTATCACCTGTAATCCTGTAAGCGGCCAACCACCCACCCACTCGCATTCCCCGTCCTGAGCCCTTCCTCCTCCTCCTCCTCCTCAACCATCAGTAAGGGCTGGAAGCACCACACCGGTTTTTCAGTATCTTCAGCAGCCTCTCCTTGAGCATGAGGAAAACGACAGCGAAGGCCACCAGGAGCGTCAGGCAGGTGGGCAGAGCCAGCACGAGGTAGAGCAGCGCCAGGTCTGCCGTCTGCCAGCGGCAGCTCCGCAGGACGGGCTCGGGCAGCGCGCCGGGGCTCAGGGTGCGGGAGCCGTGGCTGCAGGTCACCTCCCGGCCGTCGGGGACGCGCAGTCCCTCCACCCGCTGCAGCGCGTCCCACCAGCCCAGCGTGCAGCAGTTGTAGGGGTTTCGGCTGAGGTAGAGCTCCCGCAGGCTCCTCCCCAGCGGCGTCCGCGCCGCGCCCGGCGGCAGCGCCGGCAGGCAGTTGTCCCGCAGGTCCAGGCTGTGCAGCTCCAGGGCGCCCAGCGAGGCGGGGAAGGCGGGCAAGGAATTCCCCGAAAGGTCCAAGCGCACGAGGTTGTTCAGGGCGGAGAAGTCCAGGGAGGCGGAGGAGAGGCTGGTGTTCCTCAGAGACAGCACCTGCAGCGTCAGGGCAAGGTCCTGCAGCCACCCCAGGCCCCTGGACAGTGCCTGGCAATTGTCGGAGAGGTCCAGGTGGATCAACGACGTTCCCTGGAAGGGGCGGCCGCCCAGCCCCCGCAGGCCACAGCCGGCCAAGGAGAGATGGGTCAAGGTCTCCACGCCCCTGATGTCCACGCAGGGGAGAGTCTCTGCCTCACCTGCAACGTCTGGCTGGGGGCAGAGGTCAAGCTGGTTGTGGCTGAGGTCCACGGTAGTGATCTTCCTGGTGTGGGTGAAAACTCTGGGAGGAAGCGCCCGCAGCCTGTTAGCGCTGACGTTAAAGAGCTGCAGGTTGGGCAGGATGTCCCCGACACCCACCTCTGTCCCCAGCTCCACCAGCCGGTTCTGGCTGAGGTCCAGCTCAGTCAGCATGGCTAAGGGGCCCTCCTCCAACAGGTGAAACGCCTCCAGGCAGTTCTGGTTGAGCTTCAGGTGGGTCAGGGAGGGCATCTGGGCCAGGAAGCCCTCTGGCAGGCCCCAGACCTGGTTCTGGCTCATGTCCAGCAGGCGCAGGGAGGAGAGGTTGCTGTAGCAGAGCTCATCCCAGAGCCTGACCGTTGTGATGTTGGTAGAGTTGCCATCAATGATGA